AAACCAAATTTCAGCCAATTTGGAAAGGGTAAGGTGTAACCCATTGGGTGATCTGACACGGAATGACCCAAAGGAGGTAATGGGCAGTTTGGAAAAAAAACGTGCATGATGGATTCAAATACAGGATGTATTGATATACTTATAGGTATATAGATACAGGATATACCTATCAGTAAATACAGTAACATTTTCACAATGGCGATGTTAAATTTGACAATGGTGTTGCGCCACTGTGCCTCCTATGTATAAGAAATCCTGCACTCCACTCGATTGTTTGGTCAATGAATTTAGTCATATGTGACATTATTTCTGTGCAAGTCATGCTGGCTTGGCCTTGTGTTGAGTGACAGGGCTCATTATGGAGCTCGGAAGCAGGGAGCGGTTGAACCCAGATTCTAGCCACGTTCACACGGAGCGATAAATTCTGTGTTTAGTGTTCACATGAGGCTAAAATGCGCAGTCCAACAAATACGGAATCCATATTTGTTGAAATATGGCTTCCCAGATGTGGAATTACTTCTCGTGCTGAGAAATTCTGAATCTCTTGGACCGCTTATTGTTCTCGTCTGAACGCAACTGAACACAAATATGGCATTTCTGAAGTCGCGTATTTTATCGGCCATTTCCGTGTGTTCCGATTACTCACGGAGATTCCGTCGGGAGACATAAAATGTCTTCTCTCGCGACATAAAATAATCGTTATCATCTTGATCTTCGTTGTTCTGCGTAAAATTCATTAAAAAGCTGGTTAAAATAGAGATATCATGGATATTCTCTTTGCCTATGGGTAACTAAATACGGCATTTCTGAAGCCGCGAAACAGCGTGTGAACGCTCGGGTGGAGTAATTCGCGAATTTGTCTCAGATTCGGTATCTCGCAAATACCGAATTTAATAAATACGGAGTCTCGTCTGAACGCAGATTATATTGTCCTGCCATTACTCATGTTATATAAACAAGCGGCTGTTCCCATTTGCATTGTCATGGAGTAAAGGTTTTCTGCAGGAATTCACTAGATTTCTCTGGGTAAATTAAGGTATACCAAATTGTTAGGGGGATAATTCGAACAAGTGAACATTCGGCTACGGACAGATACCAATATGGAGACGGCTGTTTGTGTATTTTTGCTGTGATGGTATGAAAGGAAGCGAGTACTATGCAAATTTGGCACCCTGCCAGCTCTTCTGTGACTTTTTGACAGCAGCGTGCGTGCAGTGAGACTGTGTTGGTGAGAAGCATTTAAACGGCATTTAGGTGGAATTATTAGGTGATAGAGAGTAGAAAAAACATTGGTAGTAAATTCAATTAGTTTAATTACCATAATTTTATAATGAGCAGTGTGTCACATCGTGCACACAGCCTACCTAATAAACTACCACACACTTGCCAATGTGCAGAAACTAGGGAAAGATATAGGCAGGTGGTAAAGGGTGACCGCCAAATGCATACCTGCTGCTCACTTCATTATTGGCAATCACAGCACAAATACACAAATAATCTCCTCCATTTTGGTATCTATGTGTAGCTGAGTGTAGGAAATAGGACAGAAACTGTGCAAACACAGTTGAAACACAAGTTTAAACATATTGACCTTTCAGCTCGTCACATTCAGTGCGAAGGCTTACGGGAACGAGCAATGGTTGCTAAAAAAATGGAGTCGGTGATCAAATAAGATTTTGGTCAAGGGGAGATCTTAAACATGTTCAGCGATGTTGCTTGACATACCCGGTTAAAACTTTTAGTTCCAATGCTGACCCCCTACTTTTTTTCTTTTTTTTAATGGTTGTGAAATGTGCTTTCCCCTGTATCCAAACGTGATGAATGTATTAGTTTGATGTTGGGAAACTGTTATTTGTAATATGATCGACTACACAGAGCCATGTATCAGAACTACACTTTATTACTGATAATTATACCCAAAAGAAGACTGTAGTATGCTGGTTGGTAATGGTTTCATAATATTAGTGCAATATTTAATCCATTTTCTAATTAGGTAACCTGTGTTTTGTCTTTAGGTTCTTATGGTAGGAGGCTCATATTGGCTGAAAGGTTTCACAGGAATTCGCTACCAATTCAGACAAGTGCAATCGGTAGGTAGCTTACGTCCTCTAACGGTAGTAGTACTAGTAATTAATTGATGATTGGGAGGCGAGTGGAAAAAAACAATTGTTTAACTGTTACTCTAGACATCGATCCCTGTGGTATGCACGGGTGTATTCTCATTGTATTGTCAATGTTTCGTTTGTTTGTTGTTCAGCTGAAACCGGAGGATTTGGAAGACGCCGGGATTGAGAAAAAGTCGGTGACACTGGAAAGCGAGTTTGAGGTAGGAACATTGATGAAGCCTAAATTAATTACAATTAATTAATTAATTGTGTGCTTGTTAAACGTATCTATAGGGTTCTGTGCCACGAAACGATACATACTCTCGCGGAAAGCACATTAATTAGCTCCTTGTGAACCTATGCATGTCAGTGTTTCCCTTGCATTGACACGAGCGAGGCGGGTCGCCTCGCTAAAATTCTCAGCCGCCACACAGAAATTTGTCCAAAACACCGCCTCGCTGACGAAACTTTTGACAACTTGAAAAAGAGATTCAAGAATCTCATACAATGTGTTCAGAAAAACTTAGAATGCACCAAATTGCACGATTTTGTCAAAAATCTGGGAAAGCATGCCTCCGGACCCCCTAGCTGGGTGAGACCCTGCGCTGCTCGCTTTGCTAGGACCTCGAAATGCACAAACACACCACAAAAAAACATTTACCACCTCACATGCCTTTTTGGCCAGGGGAAACACTGCACGTGCTTGCTCGCGGATTGGTATTACAATTAGCTCTTCCAATAAGGATTACCCTCGGGACTGTCTATTTAGTTTGGTTTTCTATGAATCCGGTTTATATGGGGGGGGGCTCTTCTCTTCTTTTCTCTTCTCTTCTCTTCTCTTCTCTTCTCTTCTCTTCTGTGTCTCAGATTTCTCGTAAACGTCTCAGATGGCACTGGGCTTAAAAAGTTGTTCGGTTTAACGTGAGATTCGGTTTTGAGGCCGTTCGGTATTTGGAGAGTTGACTGTACAAGGTTAGAAGTATTTTTTTGGCGAGTGTACTGCAGTGTCACTCTAGCATTTTGTTCTTCTTCTACAGAAAGTGCAAAACCTCGACATCGATACGTGGGAGAACAAGCGTGGTCCACGGCCGTGGGAAGAACAGCAGCAGCAGCAGCAGCAGTAACAACAACAACAACAGCAGCAGTAGCAACAAACAGCAACACCAACAAGAACAAAAACAGCTGCAGCAGCAACAACAACAGCAGCAGCAGGAGCAACACACAGCAACAAACAACAACAACAACAGCAGCAGCAGCAACAACAAGAGCAGCAGCAGGAGCAGCAAACACCAACAGCAACAGCGATAGCAACAAGAGCAGCAGCAGCAACAGCGAAGTCCGACGAAACCTTCTCATCCTTCTCCTGCGTCGCTTCTCGTGCGATCGTCTGCCTCGACCTCTCTCTCGCGCGTCGCCGCAGCAACCATGGTCTGTGTCTCCTGCATCGTCATCCCCTTCATGCTCTGGTTCTTTCACAAGTACCTGCAGCCGTGGCTAGGCAAGTACATTCCCTGGCTGAAGCCGGCCGCGCTTCCAGCGGACGGCGCCGCCGACGCCGCCGCGCCGGCCGACGGACAGAAGATGAAGTGTCCCTTCTCGAAGAAGAAGGAGGATGGGGAGGAGGAGGAGGAGCCGGGGAAGGCGGGAGTCACCGAGAACGGGTCGACGGCGAGGGAGGAGGTCGCTGTCGTTGACAAGAAGAACGATTAGTTTGCTCTCTCCGCATTCTCCCGATGCCACCGCCGCCACCAATGACAATGTGGGACTGATTTCCTCTACTGTGCACGCCGAGCTAGAGTTTTCTCTGGAGTATTTCCTCTTTACTCTGCAGTGGAATGTTACTGTGCTGGCGTCTACGGGGGAGGGAAGGTTAAGAAGATGATGCTAAGTTGATAAGATGATAAGATGCTAAGTTGATAAGATGCTAAGATGATGTGGGACTGATTTGCTCTACTGTGCACACCGAGCTAGTGTTTCCTCTGGAGTATTCTGCAGTGGAGTATGACTGTGCCGGCGTCAGCAGGAGTGGGGATGCTGAGAAGGAGCACTTTCTGCAGGTCCGAGATAGAGATTTATCGATGGCGTGCTGTGATGATGTTTAATGTGAACAGATGTCAGTTTACACCGTGAGTCGTGCACCATGGCATCTCGGTTGTGAACCCTGAGGTGCTTCTTCTATCTATCGTGCACAATGTTGGAACTGTGTTAGCTGCAAACGGCAATGCACACTCGTTATATGTAAGGATCCTTGTAATTACGCTGTATGTCGTTAATTTGCGTGTGTACAGCGTGTTGTTTTTGTTGTTTATCACGTAATGCATGGTTACTGTTTTGGTGATTAGGACAATAATTTTTGAAAAGAATTTTTAGTGCTGTAAGCGAACTAATTAATGAGGAAATTCAGGAATATATTATCATATATTTGGTATTAAGTAAGATAAAGCACGTGTCAGTTGATGTGATTCTAGAAAAATCGACACCTTTTTGCGCAACCATACAATTGTAAATCAAGAGCTAAAAATACGATGTATTTTTAGCTCTTGATGAAATGATTGTAGTAATATCAGTGTAAAATGTAACGTACTGTTACCACAGTAACCTCAGTAATGGGTTGGAATTAGATGGCGTTTTCCTAGTATAGAGTATAAACTTGGTGGAACACACGACACACTGCCATGCCATTTTCTTAGTATTTCTAGGGCCCTGAAATTTAATCGGACTTTTAATTTTCTTTCTTAGACTTGTCAAGAAATCGGTTTGACCTGTGCCAATTAATGATGTGTTATAATAAATGGTAAATGGCCCTTCACATCAAAAATCACATTCAATCGAATAAGTTGTGCGTCATCATTCACACGAGTTTTGAAGCAGTAGCAAGACGTGGCAAGCAGTTGTGTGTGTGTGTGTGTGTGTGTGTGTGTGTGTGTGTGCGTGTGCGTGTGCGTGTGCGTGGGTGTGTGTGCGCGCGCGCGCGTGTGTGCGTGTGCGTCTGTGTGTGTGTGTGCGTGTGCGTGGGTGTGTGTGCGCGCGCGCGCGTGTGTGCGTGTGCGTCTGTGTGTGTGTGTGCGTGTGCGTGGGTGTGTGTGCGCGC